TCAATAATAGTTAAATGTCCTCACTGATAAGAACTCTAGTTATCATCCGGAAATGAGAAAATGACCAATGGTCACTGTGACCTTAACCTTTGACCTACTGACCCCATAAACAAGAGGGATCATCTGCTCAATAAGACCAATCATCCTATGAAGTTTGAGGGTTGTAGGTCTAAAGGAACTCTAGTTATCATCCGGAAAGGAGAAATTAACCAACGGTCGCTGTGACCTTGACCTTTGACCTACTGACCACTAAAACAATAGGGATCATTTGATTAATAAGACCAATCATCCTATGAAGTTTGAGGGTTGTAGGTCAAAAGGAACTCTAGTTATAATCCGGAAATGAGAAATTGACCAACGGTCACTGTGACCTTGACCTTTGACCTACTGACCCCAAAAACAATAGGGATCATCTGCTCTATAAGACCAATCATCCTATGAAGTTTGAGGGCTGTAGGTCAAAAGGAACTCTAGTTATCATCCGGAAACGAGAAATTGACCAACGGTCACTGTGACCTTGACCTTTGAACTACTGACCCCAAAAACAATAGGGATCATCTGCTCAATAAGACCATTCATCCTATGAAGTTTGAGAGCTGTAGGTCAAAAGGAACTCTAGTTATCGTCCGGAAACGAAGAATGGACGGACGGACTGACGGACGGACGGACGGACTGACGGACGGGGCAAAAACAATATGTCTCCCCCCGAGGTGGGGGAGACATAATAACTTAAAGACTGATCAAGATGTCTATAAATAACTCTAATCTGCTTTAATAAAGGTCTATAAACAACAAATTAGCTAATAAATTTTTGTCAAGTGGAGTGTTTGTCTCTTATAAAGCTTTTAAAGTGGTCTATAAATAACTTACAAACAACAAAAAATGTTAAAATAAATTTTGTTTTGCATTGAGTTCTTCATACTGTATTAAGACATTATTTAATTGATAATAAAGCGTGCAAACTTCAGTAGCAAAGCATGCTATGTTATTTTTTTGTAATTAAATACCACAATCACAAATTTTAACCCTTTTAAACAAGAGGTGTTTATCATTTTTTGATACAACTAGAACTATCACTAAATGTGATTAATACCCCCACAAGACTGCTTCGGAAATGAGGATGTTACTAGTAACAGAATACCTTGTAAAACTAGAGGATGCTTTTGTAAAAAAGCGCATGTCTCCCCCACTGCACTGTGACCTTGACCTTTGACCTACTGACCCCAAAAACAATAGGGATCATCTGCTCTATAAGACCAATCATCCTATGAAGTTTGAGGGCTGTAGGTCAAAAGGAACTCTAGTTATCATCCGGAAACGAGAAATTGACCAACGGTCACTGTGACCTTGACCTTTGACCTACTGACCCCAAAAACAATAGGGATCATCTGCTCTATAAGACCAATCATCCTATGAAGTTTGAGGGCTGTAGGTCAAAAGGAACTCTAGTTATCATCCGGAAACGAGAAATTGACCAACGGTCACTGTGACCTTGACCTTTGAACTACTGACCCCAAAAACAATAGGGATCATCTGCTCAATAAGACCAATCATCCTATGAAGTTTGAGGTCTGTAGGTCTAAAGGAACTCTAGTTATCATCCGGAAACGAGAAATTGACCAACGGTCAGTGTGACCTTGACCTTTGACCTACTGACCCCAAAAACAATAGGGATCATCAGCTCTATAAGACCAATCATCCTATGAAGTTTGAGGGCTGTAGGTCAAAAGGAACTCTAGTTATCATCCGGAAACGAGAAATTGACCAACGGTCACTGTGACCTTGACCTTTGACCTACTGACCCAAAAACAATAGGGATCATCAGCTCTATAAGACCAATCATCCTATGAAGTTTGAGGGCTGTAGGTCAAAAGGAACTCTAGTTATCATCCGGAAACGAGAAATTGACCAACGGTCACTGTGACCTTGACCTTTGAACTACTGACCCCAAAAACAATAGGGATCATCAGCTCTATAAGACCAATCATCCTATGAAGTTTGAGGGTTGTAGGTCAAAAGGAACTCTAGTTATCATCCGGAAACGAGAAATTGACCAACGGTCACTGTGACCTTGACCTTTGAACTACTGACCCCAAAAACAATAGGGATCATCTGCTCAATAAGACCAATCATCCTATGAAGTTTGAGGTCTGTAGGTCTAAAGGAACTCTAGTTATCATCCGGAAACGAGAAATTGACCAACGGTCAGTGTGACCTTGACCTTTGACCTACTGACCCCAAAAACAATAGGGATCATCTGCTCAATAAGACCAATCATCCTATGAAGTTTGAGGTCTGTAGGTCTAAAGGAACTCTAGTTATCATCCGGAAACGAGAAATTGACCAACGGTCAGTGTGACCTTGACCTTTGACCTACTGACCCCAAAAACAATAGGGATCATCAGCTCTATAAGACCAATCATCCTATGAAGTTTGAGGGCTGTAGGTCAAAAGGAACTCTAGTTATCGTCCGGAAACGAAGAATGGACGGACGGACTGACTGACGGACGGACGGACGGACAGGGCAAAAACAATATGTCTCCCCCCGAGGTGGGGGAGACATAATAATTGAAATATAGAGTTATGGTTGTGGGCAATTAAAGATAGTTGTGGTTCCTGTATGTTGCATTTCCTTTCAATGTGGTTGGCAATTGATAAAGTTTTATTGAATTACTCTGTAATAAGCCCAGAAAGACAAAGAAAAGGAACAAAGGGCAATAACTCTATAAATATTGAAGATGGAGTTATAGTTCTTGTGTACTGCACTTCCTCTTTTTGTGCTTGACCATTGTATGAAGTTGTTTTGAATTCCAACCAGTATGTTTAAAGTTATGCTCCAGACAAGGAAAAGTATCAAAGGGCAGTAACTCTGTATTTTGTCAAAATGGAGTTATGGCTCTTATGCACTGCACTTCCCCTTACTGTGTTTGACAATTGTATGAAATTGTTTTGAATTCCAACCAGTAGTTTTCAAGTTATGCCCTGAACAAGGAAAAGTAACAAAGGGCAATAACTCTGTAATTAGTCACGATAGAGTTATGGTTCTTGTGCACTGCACTTCCTCTCAATGTGCTTGACCATTGTATGTAGTTAAATTGAATTCCAACCATTAGTCTTCAAGTTAAGCTCCGGACAAGGAAAATGCAACGGACGTCTGGACCGACCGACTGACCGCCAGACCAACCGACCGCCGGGTGACTCCTATATACCCCCCCAAACTTCGTTTTTGGGGGTATAATTAGATATTTTCTAAGTTAACTAGAACTGCCACTATAATGGCGTGAATACCCCCGCATACCACTTTGTCAGAATCAACAGTGGCCATTTAGAACTCAAGGACAACCTCCCTGCCAAATCTGAGGTTACTAAGCCAGTGCATTGCTAAGTTATGTATTCTACATGCTTCAAATGTGAAAATGTCAAAATCAATACACTCTGGACAGGCACTCTGAAGCAATTGAGGGGAAAAGCTTTATTTTGACAAGGTCCCTGTGACCTTGACCTTTGACCCAGTGATCTCAAAATCAATACAGATCATTTACTTATCATGACGAACCTCCATGCCAAATATGTGACCTTGACCTTTGACCTGGTGACCTCAAAATCAATAGGGGTCATCTACTAATCATGACTAACCTCCATGCCAAATATGAAGACTGTGGGTCAAAGGAATCTTAAGTTATTGGGCGGACAAGCTTTTTGAAGTCAAGGCCCCTGTGACCTTGACCTTTGACCTGGTGACCTCAAAATCAATAGGGGTCATCTACTAATCACGACTAACCTCCATGCCAAATATGAAGACTGTGGGTCAAAGGAATCTTAAGTAATTGGGCGGACAAGCTTTTTGAAATCAAGGCCCCTGTGGCCTTGACCTTTGACCTGGTGACCTCAAAATCAATAGGGGTCATCTACTAATCACGACTAACCTCCATGCCAAATATGAAGACTGTGGGTCATAGGAATCTTAAGTTATTGGGCGGACAAGCTTTTTGAAGTCAAGGCCCCTGTGACCTTGACCTTTGACCTGGTGACCTCAAAATCAATAGGGGTCATCTACTTATCATGACTAACCCCCATGCCAAATTTGAAGACTGTGGGTCAAAGGAATCTTAAGTTATTGGGCGGACAAGCTTTTTGAAGTCAAGGCCCCTGTGACCTTGACCTTTGACCTGGTGACCTCAAAATCAATAGGGGTCATCTACTAATCAAGACTAACCTCCATGCCAAATATGAAGACTGTGGGTCAAAGGAATCTTTAGTTATTGGGCGGACAGAAAAAACCGACGGACGCCGGACGGCCAGACGGCCGGACGGACAATCTGATTCCAGTATACCCCCCTTACAACTTTGTTGTGCGGGGGTATAAAAAGCCATCACAGAAATTATCATCCCTTATGCAATAGGTCTTGAAATTATCACCTTTACAATATTAAGGGCTTATACTATTCACAAATTTTTTACTGATAGCAAAAAGAGCCTTGATAATGTAAAATTTTCTATGTTAACAATAACTTTTTTTTCAAATCCATGTGACAGTTATAGGCCTTCGAGAGTCCTATCATGGACTCAAAGAAGTGTATAAAATTTATAATTTATTGTATAAAACTTCTTTCGAGGCCAGATGTCAATGGAATATAAAAATATCTGAGGTGTATGCAAACTTTAACATAAATTCTATGTGGAAAAAGGGGCATTTTTCTGTCAAAATGCTTGATAGAGTTAACTCCTCCTGTTTACAGGTTGGGGGCATGATGGTGAACAATTGTGCAAAGTTTCAAAACCATATGTCAATGGACTTTGAAATTCTTTGAGGTGGTACAAAAACTTTAAACATAAGTGGTTACACTGCCGCTCGGGTGACTTAAAGATAGCTCTATTTATTCTTATCAAATAGTCCAGCTAAATATGAGCATGGTGAGTTAGTTTATGAGAACAATATGAGGTGACCATCATAGTTTTACATTTATATAATTGTAATTTCAGATAACCACATGTGAAAAATGGAAACCAATGACACTGGAGAGTATTCAATTGCGGATGCTGTGACAATTGACCAGATCAGTACTACCGCTGACAGAGCTTCTGAAATCTTCACAAATCCTCTTGAAGTGACTTCTTTTATAATATGTGTGCTCGGTCTTATTGCAAACTGTCTTTCCATAATAGCGACCATTCACATACCACATGGTCAGTCGACACATTCTAAACTAATCATCAGTCTCGGTGTATCGGACAGCCTTATTCTCATCGCCATACTCTTACACAATTTAATGTACATATTTACATCATGGGATGCTTGTACAAAACTTACGAAACGTCTAATTTTAGACACAGCCCTTCTTGCAACACTTATAAACTTGTTTGTGATGGCCATAGATCATAACTTAGCCATTATGAAGCCCCTTCATTATAGACGTTTTATGTCCAAATTTCGTGGGAATTGTCTCATCATTTTTATATGGGTATTCAGCTTGATTATGGGTCTAACAGAAGTGGTTGTTGGACTGGTGACTAAAGAACAAATGAAACAACCATTTTGCATTGTAGTATCAAACGACGAGTTCGACATTGAACTGATTATTATTGGCGTAATTTTCTTTGTGCTTCTTGCTATTGTAGTGATTTACGTCAGGATTTACACCTTAGTCAAACAATTAATGAACAGAGACCGAATGATGCACCAAGATGAAATGCATAGCTATAAAGCAATTGTGACTACATTGCTTATTATCGGAACATTTACATTATTTTGGGCTCCAGATGGGATCTTTCAAGTTGTACATGTATATAAAATTGAAAACAGACAGGTTTTATGTCTAATATGAATGTTAAAAGATTCACTACTATAAATGACATGTCTTGTTTCTGCTCCCTACAGTTTTAATTCATTGGCAGATCCTTTAATTTATGCAATTCGTCTTCGTGAAGTTCAGCGTGGCTACAAAGTTGTGTTCTACAAGTTATTCCCGAGGTACAGATCATCTTTAAATGAGGAGGAGTTTCGCCACAATCATCTGTCATTCACATCATTCAGAAGAAATACAAATCCAACAATAGTTAATGATACAGTGAGCAGCCCAGATAGTCTGCAAGACAAAGTGTTTGAAAAAGCATTTGACAACCATAATAATGAAAAGTTGTTTAGAAATGAATTAGAAATAACTGATGAATCATCCTTCATTACTAAAGAACTTTTGGATAAAGAGATTATTGGAAACAACATCAGAAATTACATTCAAATTAAAACAGATAAGACTGATCATGACACTGCACAACAAAATATGGTAAGTCAGGAGGTAGACCATGATAAAGATGACATTGATAGAAATGGTGAATCATACATTGCCTTTGACAGAAAGGACAACTGTGGTGGTGAAACTGATAAACACTCTGAAGCAGTAAATATTATGATGCATGGGGAAGTAAATAAAAATGAAACTATCACTGACTATATTGCTGATGAAGAATTTGATTTTAACAACAGATCTGACACAATGGTCAGTGAAAATGAAGAAGTGATAGAAACTAAAGAAACTGACCCTTTACATCCAAAGTGTGAAGATATTGTATGGCATTTATGAGTGAAATTTATTCAAGTATATTAATCGAGAAATTACCTGTTCCCTCTGCATTTATTAGTGCTTGTTTCTAATGTTCAGATTACAATCATGTTTGTTTGTCTGGTTAAACTGCACACAGACACAGTATAGGGTAGGTCATATGGTGCTGAAGCACAGGAAAGATGGTTTTGGCTTACCTTGAGTGTTACAAACTTCAAAGTAACACAAGGGTCTACACCAACAGCTTTCTATTAATGTTGTATGAAAAATATGGCTGTGAGTTACACACATTGAAAAATTTCATTACAAATATCTCGGGAGTTATTATCTTTACAATAGCTACATTTAAACCTGTGTAATCCTTATTGTTCTTATTGAATGTAGAACCAGGCCAACATGCCCTTCTGTGCAGTATGATTTAAGAAGATAATAATATTGGCTATTTATTGAAATTTAACAAAACTAAATTACCATTGTGTGGGATATGTTAGTGGGTAATGTAATTAATACAATAAATTTCAACCTGTCATCAATCCAATCTAGTGATGAGCATTATAATTATTATAACCTTGTTTATATCATGATGTTGAGACCTTGGATCCCAACTTAAGTATTGTAACGTGGTGCCAGTGTATAATGTAATTTTTTGTAAGTCTATATTATATTAACACTTATCAACTTAATTGTTTTTTTAATAAGCATTTCATATTTTATACTGTATAATTACAGTGTTTATTTATGGCTGGGGTAAAATTTGTTGATAATTAACAAATTAAAAAAAAAAATAGTAAAACAACCAATTTGTTGGTATGAAAAAAAAAAAGTAAAACAACGAATTTGTTGGTATGAAAAAAAAAGTAAAACAACCAAAGTTGCAATCAAAGCAATTAAAAATGGGTAAAAAGTGTTGTTGATATAAAAAATCCACAATTTTTTGTATTTAAAGCAATTTAAAGTTTTCTTATAACAAATGTTATGATGGTCTACCTTTGAAACAATGTTTTAGTTGTTTGTAACCTAGTCCCTGATTGTCTAAGTTGTCTCCAAAAATAACCTAAGACCCAAATTGCCTGGAATGGTGTATGGGTTTGACAGAGCTTTTCCATCTAACTGTCCCCAACGGGACATAACTGTCCCCAACGGGACATAACTGTCCCCAATGGGACATAACTGTCCCCAACGGGACATAACTGTCCCCAACGGGACATAACTGTCCTCAACGGGACATAACTGTCCCCAACGGGACATAACTGTCCCCAACGGGACATAAATGTCCCCAACGGGACATAAATGTCCCCAACGGGACATAACTGTCCCCAACGGGACATAACTGTCCCAAACGGGACATAACTGTCCCTAACGGGACATAACTGTCCCCAACAGGACATAAATGTCTGACAAATTTAAAGTCTTATAGTGAAGTTTTCATTATCCACATTATATTTCCAAAATTTGGGTTGGGATTTAAGTGTATGAATCTATATACAATGTAGTCTGTGGATTGTTAAATTATTGTATAATATTCTGGTTGAACTGTAAAGAACATGAATGTAAGAAATTTGTCAGTATATTTGATATAAAGCAAGTGGAACATTCTTGAAATCATAGCCAAACCTACTAAAATAGCAGCAAAATATTTTGTTCCAAAACATATAATATGTTTTTGTACAAAACTCAAGTTAGCTTTTTAGTTTTTACAAAAATATTTCATCAGAATAGCTTCATGTTCTTTCAAAATGTTTGGTGCACAATTATATATTGTTCCTTGCTTTGTTTTTGCTTCTGTTAAATTTTTCAAAACCTCAAATTTCTCTATTTTCCCCAGCAAATTAACTTGTTGATCTCCATTTCTATTGTTAAGATTTAATTCTGCATATTTTCAAATATCTTCATTTTTTTGTTGAATTTTTATGATTTTTTGTTTATTCTCTTTTATTACAATTGTTTGTAACAACTTGTCTTTTTACTTTTTCTCAATATTAATTTCTCGTTAAATTGTAAGTGACTGATGGAACTTTTATATTTCTTAATGTATATATAAACACTTTTTTCATGTTTATAAGTGATGTTTTATTTTACTGGTTATTTATGGGCTCCTTTCCAACAATTTTACAAGAAAACAAAGCAAATATCTTGTCTGGAAACAAAGAAAGAATCATTTACTATATTATTAATTTTCAATTAATTGAAATGTTTTCAAACAAGCAGAGTTTATTTTGGTAGAATTGGTTGAAAATTGTTGAACTAAATTATAATTCTATTTTAGGCCTACAGGCATTCATAAATACAATGCCAATTTGCTTTTTTTTGTGTAAATTTTGGATGGCCACTTATATTTCTTTATAAAAAGAAATAAGAAAAACAACAACATAAAGTTATTGTGATATTATTTTGGGTATTTTTTATGGTGTTCATGTGATGTACCTGAAAATCAATGTGTTTTTCTCTGAGAATGATCTGAATATGATATTATCTATTTATTTTTTTTTTGAATTTTTAAACTATTATGTAAAATAATAAAATTATTACTTCACTGTGCTCATCATTATTTTTCCAAATTTTAGCAATGATATAAAATCTTATCATTTATAATATCTGGTTATTATGATAACAGCTTTCTGAGATCTTGAGAATATGTTTGCTTAGCTTAATAGAGAGAGCATCAGACTTGTAATCCTGGGGTAGTTGGTTTGATCCAAAGGCGTTTTTTTTTCTGTGAAAACTGATTTCTAATATTGAGTGTCATAGGCATTATTATTTCATGCTGTCCAGTGTTTTACTGTAATATAACAGATGATTATATTCTGATAAACCACAAGTGAAATCTATAAAATATAATTTTCACTGTAGCCGCACTATATCTGAATGCGGATGAAAAGAATATCATAACTAAATGGAAAAACAGATAAAAACAAGATATGTTTGTAAAACATGTATGCCCCCTATCAGCAGCCAATTAGTCATGTGATAAGGTTATAATGCATGACTTCTGACCCAGTGATCAAACAATTAATAAGGGATATAAAGTATCTACTGGTCATGACTTTGACCCCTTGACCCAAAACTCAATAGGGGTCATCTGCTGGTCACGATCAATCATCATACAAAGTTTGAAGTTCCTAGGCCTAGGCGTTTTTAGTAAATTGATCAGAAACCGTTTTTACCTACAAGGTCAATGTGACCTTGACCTGTGACCCCTTGACCCCAAAATCAATAGGGGTCATCTGCTGGTCATGACCAATCACCATGCCTAGGTTGAAGTTCCTAGGCCTAAGGGTTCTCTTATTATTGATCGGAAACCGTTTTAACATACAAGGTCAATGTGACCTTGACCTTTGACCCCAAAATCAATAGGGGTCATCTGCTGGTCATGACCAATCAACATGCCAAGTTTGAAGTTCCTAGGACGAACGTTCTTTAGTTATTGATCAGAAACCGTTTTTACTTACAAGGTCATTGTGACCTTGACCTTTGACCCCTTAATCCCAAAATCAATATGAGTAATCTGCTGGTCATGACAAATCACCATACCAAGTTTGAAGTTCCTAGGCCTAAGTGTTCTTGAGTTATTGATCAGAAACCGTTTTTACTTACAAGGTCAATGTGACCTTGACCTTTGACCCCTTCACCTAAAACTCAATAGGGGTCATCTGCTGGTCATGACCAATCATCACACAAAGGTTGAAGTTCCTAGGCCTAAGCGTTTTTAGTAAATTGCTCGGAAACCGTTTTTACCTACAAGGTCAATGTGACCTTGACCTTTGACCCCTTGACCCCAAAATCAATAGGTAATCTGCTGGTCATGACCAATCACCATACCAAGTTTGAAGTTCCTAGGCCCTAGGGTTCTTTAGTTATTGAACGGAAACCGTTTTTACCTAAGAGGTCAATGTGACCTTGACCTTTGACCCCTTGACCCCAAAATCAATAGGGGTCATCTACTGATCATGACCAATCACCATCTCAAGTTTGAAGTCCCTAGGCCTAAGGGTTCTTTCATTATTGATTGGAAACCGTTTTTACCTACAAGGTCAATGTGACCTTGACCTTTGACCCCTTAACCCCAAAATCAATAGGGGTCATCTGATTGGTCATAACCAATCACCATACCAAGTTTGAAGTTCCTAGGCCTTAAGGTTCTTTAGTTATTGATTGGAAACCGTTTTTACCTACAAGGTCAATGTGACCTTGACCTTTGACCCCTTGACCCCAAAATCAATAGGGGTCATCTACTGATCATGACCAATCACCATACCAAGTTTGAA